TCTCCAGCTGATAATATAAATTAATTAATTTCTTTTGCTGCAGATGCTTCATAAGTAAATACAATAAGTACTTATATGAAAGTAATTTTTATATTGTTAAAATAATTTATAATAATATAATTTAAAAATTTCTCTAGAAGTTTAAAAGGATGACTTGACCATTTAGAAGAGGGCCATTTAGGTCATGAGTAAGTAAAAGTGCCTTTTTTAGATGTTTTTATTAAATTAATAGGTATAACAGATTTTTGTTTTCTGCTCAATAAAACCTAGCATTTACTGTAAAAAATCATTAATTATTCAAATGAAATGTATACCTATATACCTAATATATATATATATATATATATATATATATATATTATTATAAAACTACTCAAATAGAACAAAATAATGGTCAAGCTGATAGAAATATTAAATAGGTAGGTATTGGAAAAGTTTGATAATTAAACCATCATCAATATATAGGTAACTCTTGAGATGTTTTTTTCCATGGTTTTAATGTATAAACATATTTACCTTTGGTCTACTTAATTATTCTATTCTTAATTAAATTGAATCCAGCGAATTTAAATATAATCAAAAAATATTTCGAATTAAAATATACAGTTTTCGTTACAATAAATTCATCACACTATATTTTGTACACAAGCTCCCGATCGTTTGTAGTAAGGATGCACAAGAAATAACAATGATATCGAGTTTTGGTCGGTTGTCATATGCTATTTTCGAGCGGCTTAACGGTCAAATAAAACAAGTTGCGTGCTTGCACATGCGTGATCCATTTTTACATAGTAAATCGTATATTATTGTACTATATTAACATACATGTGATGTATCAAAATAGAACATCGCAAGTACAACTTTCTAACGCATATCTTAGAAGCGTTTTTACTCCAACGTGTAGTATACATTGCATAGATGTTATTTCTTAGAAGTATAATTAATATATTTTTAAATATCCTACTAACATCAAATAGATGATTTTAAAATAGGTTACATTTGGTAAAATCTGTAAGAGGTTTTGGTTGAACCGTGGTACAGTGGGTAATCACCAAAGCTTTAAAAGTTAAAGTACTAAAAAAAGTTACTTTTTTACGTTAAAATGTGCCGATTTTAAATATTTTTTCCAATTTCATAAAAAAAACCTCAATTATATCATTATATCATTATTGATGATTCATTAATGATTTATCATATGTTAATGTAGTTTAATTATTTTAATTTGGCAAAATTATCCATAATTTATTTATCTACCCCTTGACCTCTCACCACTGCTTTACGGACCTCTAAATGTCATAAATAACCAGTAATTTCAATACTACATATTTCACTTCTTTCACTATTATGCTTTTCTTTCCGTGAACCCGTTAATACCCTCCCGTGGACCTCTAGGGAACCGTGTACTCCCAGTTGAGAAACTCTGTTCTATAGGGATCCTCTAGAATTATCTGAGTTTAAAAATATGATTTATTAAAGCGTTTTGTAATTAGTATTGAAAACGTAATTTTGAACAAGTTGTTGTAATCAACTGACCTAGTAAAAATATAAACTATAATAGATTTAATTGGCTTCTAAATCCAAGAACTCAATGTTTCTGCGTTGAGGAAACTATTGAATGACTCCCAAAATATGGTTATTGAATTAGATATTTTTTAAAGAGCGTCACCATAAAATTTCACTTTATCGTTTCTGTCTATAATAAAAAGACGGACATACTTTGCACGTGGGTGGGCCACTGTTGTAAGTGAAAAGTTAGGAAGGTAGATGGAAAATACACAACCTACGCAACGATTAATCATTGCTAACGAAAAACGATTCTGAAAAGAATTCGGTAAATATTATTGCTTTGTTACATTATGGTAAAATAATTACATACACATTATGTATTTTCTTTAATAATATTTGTTTAATATTGTATCTGTTTTTCGTTTTTTTCCATTTATTGGGGAAAATATAAAAAAAAAACCTCCCCCAGAAGTACCAGCCCAAGAACATTCCCTTTCAGAAAAGGTGCTATATTTAATACTTCGGAGCAACATTTCTGATAGAATTTTTGTACACAGTATAAAAAAGGGTGGGAAAAACATCTTTGTAAAACCAATACATTCTTCACTACACTCGACATCTAAACTTTGTTTTTTTGTACTTTTAATAGTATTCGGAACTGATAAACTTATAACAAAAATGCTTTCACTGTGGAATTTTTCGATATATTCATTATACAATTTTCTATTACCTGGAATAAAAAAAAAAAGTAATACGAAATAAATAAAAAAAAAAGTCTTAAGTACAAATAGACTATATGAGAAGTAAATATCAAAAAGTAGTGAATTTTTCGGTTTTAATTTAATTAAATCAGTTTTATTTAAGTCTATTAGATCCTTAATACTATTGGTAGTACAATAATGCAATCTTGATATTACCCTTTAAATAGACAGAGACGGCGATATACTATCTACTAAATTACACGTTTTCTTTTTCCAACAACTTTATCCTTAGACGTTTTCCTTATGAATTATGTTTATATTATATAAAACCTGAGGTGGCCATGACTTATGACTTATGATCGACCCCTGAGGTTTTCTAGGTTGTTGCAATCAAACAAAGACGAACAAAAGGTCAATAAATAACAATGTATATTATAGTATATGCGAGTTACACTTCTTTTATTTAAAATTAAAAGACATAACATTTGATTTTATAGTTTTTAGAACAAACATTAAAAATGTATTTAATTACAAATTATTAATTTTAATATGAAATAATTCAATGCCATAAAAATGTTTAACTTATTATATAGTATCAGAATTAGATAAAGTGAATTTATAATGTATACTATATATAATTGTTACGCATCCGTTCGATTTATCGATTTTTACGAACGTGATAAGAATCATTAATATAGAGCAATATAAGATATTCATCGGATTACGCACAATGTGCTATAGCTATTCGATCTCAGTATATATTATTTGCAACTGAAATCGAATCGAGTGATTGTAATTAATTGTTATATGTGTCTATTGTTAAATACAACTTTAGGAAATAATTAATCAAAAATTCGTTTTACTTGTTTCCAGAAAATAAATCAAGAAATATGACATTATCCTATTTTTTCTCATTACTTCACTTATCCACCTAAACATTCTCAACTCTGATAAACTCATTTTCTGTTCTATTTGTCTCTCTACCGCCAATACTCAGATTCATATGATATAGTCTCGCCACAATTATGTAGAACTAAACTAACATAAAATCTTTTGTTTGTCTGATTTTAGATTCCGAGTGAAGTGAAGAGTGTATTGGTTTTACAATGTTTATTTTTTTTTTTTAACTGTACAAAATTTCTACCAGCAATCTTGTTTCAATTTTTAAGTGTAGCACATCTTATGAAAGGAAATTTTATGCGGTTGGTACTTTGGAAAGAGAGGTCATTTTTTGATTTTCCAAGCAGTTTTCATAATAATTGGGAAAGAAGTACGATTAACGGGAAAATTTGTGATATGTATTATTATTTTTCAATTTTTATTTTTATTGTAATTCAGTTAAAAATATTTGTAGAGTATTCGTGGAGGTATTTTCAACTATAAAGTGAATTTATCTTCCCTACAAAAATAATAGTATATGTCTACTGAAATTACCCACCTGGACTTTCCACCAGTAGGAGCTCGGGACTCCAGATTCGCTAAACCTGTTAGATCATATATCCGGCGATGTGTTTCAAAAATAATTTAGCTTTTCTTATTTTATATTTATTTTTATTAAATTCAGAATAATTAATGTTAGTAATCTAAACATTGTTGTTGAAAAAGGGAAAGGCGTATCGGTCAAAATTGGCAATGGGTATGTTTTTTGGATACTGGTCCTGCCGTTCCAAAGATATTATTTAGTTAAAATTTAGTTCTATATAAGGTATTTTTACACAAAAATCAGTTGAAACACTATATTGTATATTTTAGGATGTAGTTTATAAAATTGGTTATTAAATTTTTTAAGTTTGGTACTTACACAAACGAGTTAGTTGTCTGGAATATATTTTGAGAACCACTTTAAAAAAACATTATTTCATGTTATTATAGTACTCTATTTTATAGTACCTAAGTGCAATTATTGGGAGCAGTTTCAATAGTCTACGAGGAATTTACCTAATATTGTGAGCTAATTCAATGGTCGTCCTAACAATATCTAAAATAATATCGTTTTCCATTATTATAATTTATGAATTTAACCCATTTTCATTGATGGAATATCATTTTGTTTAATTTATATAATATAGTTTGTTGTTCGATCGTTCTTAGTAGTTTATTTGTAAATATATTTTCTATTATCATTATTTATTGAACAATACGGTCTTGTATAATTGTTATTTCTATTGAAGATACCTAGTGTAATAATAAAATATAATGTATAATAACTCCATAACAAATTAGAATTATTACATAACTCATAAGCGTAATTTTATATCTGGCAAATTATTATTATCATCATCGATATTTTTATCGACGTTTGCTATAATATCAATTGAGTTTTTTTTTCAAATTCATATTATTTTTAAAAATGTTCGTCGATTCAATTTTTAGGCGTAATATATAGGCAATATATTCAACTCGTCATGTATCTGGTTTGCATATACAACAATTTCTCAACAGCAATAAAAAACGATATTTTTTTCAACGATTAATAAATAGGGAGTGTATAGTAGAGTTCTTCACGGCTTTTATATTTCAAGCCCAAGCCTTAGAAATGAGAACGTATTTGTATGGTCCGAATTCTTTTAATTTAACTCTAACATACTACCCTAGTCTTGTTCATAGAACATAATTAAGGTTTTTCTGTTGCCATTTTTATATTATTTCGAAAATCGGTTGTGAATATATTCATTTTATTAGGTAGTTACCTACTTGTTTGAATTTATTTCAAGAGAATTATTGTTGTGTCATTTTTGGTAAATCGAGTATTTTGGTTTGATTTTGTAGCATTTCCGAATCTCCGAAAACACAATGATTCTAGTGAAACTGATCGACAACGAATGTTCATCTCCATCGTCAATCCCTGAATGGGCTGCAATAGAAGTTCAAGGTGAACTTGAATCCCGTCACCACACTCCATTCGAACGTCAATATGTAGGTGACCTTTTCGCCACAATCAAGGATAATGTACCTATACTTATTATTGGTCATCACATACTTTATGGGAAAATGCAAACATTTGATAAGCCACTCGCCGTAATGAAAAAAACAGAAGAGGCCGAAGCATCGTCGTATATCGTCCAAGCGATTATAACCAAAAAGTTACTCTTCAAAAATAGACCAAAACCCATTATCGCAAATGTAAACAAAATAGTTTAAATATAATTGAACAATTATGCACATATAAATGATGTTTTTTTTTTTTTCAATATTCTCAATGATATTTTGTTTAGTAACTGTAATAGTAATCGCTTTGTTCCGGAAACATTTTGCGCCTTGAATTATCTAGAAATACAACCAAACTCATATTCCTGAAGATAGTCTTACGAATATTTGTAGATGATAATATGGCGTGGACAATACTTGTCTAATTTATCGTTTTCGTCAGTCTTTTATTTGGTTTTCAAAGTTTTTATTGTGCGTAATCATGATTTATTATAGATTCTGAGCGAAGCTACGAATGTGTTGGTTTAACAATGATGTTTATTTTTTTATCCGTGAGCATCTTTTCTACTAGAGATTTTCAAGTAAAGTACCTTATCTGAAAGGAAATTAATCTGGTTGGTACTTTAAATAGGTCATTTTTTGATTTTCTTCATAAAAATTAGAAAAAAAATGGGAAAACTTACGAAGTGTATTTATTGTATTATATGTATGTAATATATTAAATTTTGTTTTTAGTTATGATTCAATTAAAATTATTTATAGATACTTGACATTTTTGGACGGAAAACTTATATTTGTCTTTCTAGCCGTGGTCAAATTCAAAACGTTTTAGAAATTATTGACCTTTTTAATTTTGCGAATTTTTGTATGTAATTTATATTTAGTAAGTACTCTGTGGATAAAATTGTTAGACCAAATAAAAATGCTTAGAAAATAAACAGGAGGTTCATTGTAAATTGCATTTAGTGGTCAATAAGAAAACGTTGAGTTTAATGTAGTATTTTTTTATATCTTTAAGAATTTTAACATCATATTTTGTGGAATATCGTAAATATTATGGCCGTTTAAAACAAATGTAACTGAACTCTGCTCAGAATCTTTTTTTGTTATTAAAGGTTATTGATTAATCGTTTCATTTAGTTCCCTTCTATGTCCTACCTTCCCAAATTTTCACTTACAACAGTGGCCCATCCGTCATACAAAGTATGTCCATTTTTTTTTTTTTACTAAAATGCAGAAAAATATAGAAAACTTGGGTTTATTGTATTAATGTTTTTTAAGTGTAAATTTAGATCGATCAAATAATGATGTTATTGTCTTTTTTTTAGTGAAGTATAATACTTTACTTAGGTATAATGGAGAATATTGTATTATTTATATTTCAATGTTGCTAACAAAATTATTCTCATTTTTGGACAGTGAAAATACTCAACAGCATCTTTATCCATTTCTAATAAATTTTAAGTACCTAGTCAATTTTTTAATATATTTGTGAATTACTCATGATGATAAAATATACAGGTTTTTAGTGTCAATTTACATAATTTTTAATACAGCAAATAAATCTTTTAAGAATACGATATTCTTGTGTTCATTGTCTTTCTATAACTAACTGTCAAAATAGCAAAATTACGTCACTTATAACATAAATTGTGGCTTTTAGGTTTAAACTAGGGCTGCGTATTACTTGTGTACACTTCAAATTAAAAGAAAACATGTTGGATACCGTATTATATAGAATTTATGAACACCTATACACGTGAATTTAAACGTGGCTATCCAAAATAAATATCCGTGTACCCTTTGAACGGATACACGGGTGTATATAACGTTTGTTCTATTGATACTTCTATTTCAAACAAAATTGAATGAAGAGAATATTTGTGAGGACTAACTAAAAGTAATAGCCATTAAGTTTTTGTTTTTTTAAAAATAACTCTTTTGTATGGTAAAATTTGTATACAAAATCTATAAACAGCTTTTGGAATTATTTTCTCTGTGCATTTTATTATTTGTACTTAAACTCTTATTTTAACCTAAAGGCCAAAATTCATGTTCTTATTTTGACGAAAATCATTGAAATTACAGCAGTTTAAAACATGTACAACTGAACTTCACTCAGAATCGTATTCCATTAGCAATTTCTAACTTCTCACCCATAACATTGGTACACTCAAGTGATATTAACTCTTTTTTTGTACTTATTTATTTAAGTCGTTTATTACAATATTTTTTACAAGTTAAAAACGTTGCTTAGTTTTAATATTGAATTTTTATCGTGGACCTCGTCATACAAAGCAGTAGCTGTTATATAAGTCACTCGGTTCACAAATATATGCAAGCAGCAAAAAATTCACAATTATGTTTCTCACAGACACCGGGTTGAAAAATATCGTGCATATATTGTGTATATTAAATATATCAAGACGTCCAGGCCGTGTGCACTCTCTCTTATATATAGGTATATCTATTCGTTCACTGCAGGACTATGACGTGAGATACCTATATAGTTATTTTATTAGAAGACAAATATAACGAAATCGTTCAATTATTATAGTAGTAGTTCTTGTCATGTCTTTAAAATTTCTTGGGAACTAAATTTCGTTTTAATTTTCGCTTAATAATAATTTGACAAAAAACAATTAGTTTTGAATACATTTAGTAATATGATTTCTCAAAGAAAATCGGGTCGGCGAATTTGAGCCAAGGTCTCGCCTACGACATAATATGTCTGTGCATTTTGTTGTGTATATGCCTTGTGTGTTAACCGGTGGTGGTTAGACACTGTTACAAATCTGTATGACCGAGAGCCTATTACCAAGGACAAAGGACGTGATGATAATCGAGTCCCTCGAATGGCTGGAGTACTTATACTATATTATATACATATAAATCTTAGACATAATTTCTTTATAAAATTGTTCGTATAATTAATGTTCAATGCCGTCGTCAGTGTGTTCCCCTTTTTGTCATTACCATTGAATTATTATCGAAATAAAGTTAGTATTGAGTTTAACAGGATTTTAATTTATATTTTGTTACTTTATGACAAAACTATATTAAATATGGAAATATAGAAGTATTAAAAACTAATAAATTTAATTTTGATATGTTTAATACATAATATTTGAAACATAATTACATAAACGTTTGTGTAGTGGAAAAAAAGAAATATAAGATTAAAATATAGGCAATTTATTAAAGGTATGTTAAAAATTACATTTAGTTGCCTATAATATTACGTGTTGTTGTCGTACTTCAATTATTATGATTATTTACGATTATAATGTCATATAGACTGAAGAGTACCTGTCTAATCTCGTAATATTGTATTTGTCAAATACACACCGGTTTTAACTAAAACTCGCGTTTAAATTGCCCTTGAGCGTTTTACATATTCAAAATTAATTTGTGGTACACTTCTGAAGTTCTGACAAATAATCGACTGAAATAGAGCCATCTCTAGACCTAATAACAATTTGTCGAAACACAAGTTTCCTATTATTGTAGCCTGTATAAAAAAAATTAAAAATATTTCGCTACCTCGGACTAATATATTATTATAAAGTATTTTAAATTATCAAAGGGCAAAAGTGATATTATTCGCCGACGCTGCCTTGAAAGAGCCTTGGTCTCTTATTTTTCTTTCTTTTTCGCAAAAGCTGCAATATTTGGTATATTATTTAAGTGTCACGAAAATATTTGCTTTATAATTAATTTTGCCAGAAACGAGTTTATAGTTGCAAAATTTTCCAAAGCAGTTAAATAAAATTATTTATATAATTTATTATATAACAGCAGTTATCAATGAATATTAATTTTTTGATATCTAAGTATAACTTTTTATTGTACTATAATTTCGATTTTTTTTTTTTTTTATATTATAAAACATAATTTTTGGTAATATTATGTTATTGAGTTAACGCGTCGGCAATAATCAATTTCACCGCGAGACATATAATTAGGGATATTTGGTTCAGTTACTTTGATTTTTTAAAAATGTTGTCGTCCTTTAATAATATGTACTTAACCATTTTTTGAAACTTATCTTTTAACTTGACAATGTGTTGTAGGAATTATTTGTAACCTAGGTGGCCGTAATAAAATCCACATAAAATCCTTCAATCGGTCTGTCTATTCGTTTGTCTGTGTAATATACGACGTACAAATCTAATTGTAATTGTCAAAAAATTCACTGAAATGCTGCCGAACATTTCGTCGCCTACTATAATAGCTGATGATATGTGGTCCCAAATTATATTAGTTTAGATGCCATTTCCTGTCCAACGGACCGTTTCAGTTATGAGAGCATACGACAGCGGCGACGATCAATATTATAATTTCGACCGGAGGGACTAAATTCCATTAATTCCGCTCGTCGTTGCAGCAGCAGTACTACAGTTGTTGTGTATACGAATTTCCACACATTGCAGTGTGTGTAGATTATATTATTATTATATTCATGTGTGCGTGGAATATCCTTTTTGTGCATATACACTCATACAAGATAGATACAAAACACATTTTAACGAATAACATATTATAATATAATATAAATTATGATCGTGTGTTTAATATTGATAACCAATTGCGCGTATATTATAGATATAATATTAATATACTGTCTGTGTGTTCCCCATACCTTGCCTAGTAGCATAACGTCGTTGTAATGAAATTACCGAAATTACTAATACTTGGACATATTATGATGTATAGGATCTAAACTAGGCAATGCCTGTACCAAAAAGTTATTTTTTTCGGTAAATTTTAACTAAACTTTATAGTTACATTAGTTTTTCTTATGTATATGTCTAAAACAATATGATTTTGTAGTTTTGTGCCACTTTACATAAGTACCTGTATTAATATTATATTGTGATATAAGTCGTCATCGTCGTCATACATTTATGTAGGTATTTTTCGTTTATGATTTTTGAGGAAACCCTTAGTTAATGAATATATAAGAGCGAAGTAAGTTAATTTTTTTTTCCAAGGTTGGGTGGGTATTTTGCCCCCGCGTTATTTGGAATGATTTGCGACTCTGGGGTCTAGATATTTCATTATTTCTGTGGTTCTACATCTGATACAAATTTCGAACAAACTCTTCTATTAAAATTTAATAAATATTTTTTGTAAATTAATTTAACAAAATAATATTATCAAAATTTAAAATATCTTGTCATTTAATCGTATTTTAAGATCATTTAATTATG